CGTTGCGGTCCATAGCTTGAGCTGCTGACTGATTTGGTCGCTCCTCCGGGAAAGGCTGTTAACAAGGAAAACATTAAAATGTTAGTAAACCTTGTTAAAGTACCTGGTGTATGCTCTAGTAACTTTTTAGGCATTTGATACACAATTAATGAACCTTCGTTCCAAATGAAAGCTAAACTTAAATAAACAGAGGCACGTTAAGTATCAAACAAAATCTTATGAAGAGTTTAAGTGATATTGGTAAAAAAAGGATTACTAATGTTAAACAAAAAACATTTAAGAATTTACAAGTATTAACGTTAATTGTAGTTTGTCTAAGTAAGGGTTGTGCATTGATTCAGGTATACAAACATAGCTACATGTTTCAAAGTTCACTAAGTAAGTAAATGCCTTGATTTTATTTTTCATCTGCGTACTTACATTCATAGAATTTGCTGGTGCATTACTGTTCTTAATGAAGGAGTCATTCCTGAGCAGGCTGGTGCTGACCACGTTCTCTGTGGTGGCAGCGAGCGCGTGGAAGTACAAGTAGCGCTCGCCGTCCGGCCGCAGCGGGGATAGCGCCATGCCCAGCACACCGTCCATCAACTCGAAAGACTCATCTAAAAGATACAAAATGTATCTAATATTATCAGTTTTTAATACTACAGAGTATTCGACACGTTAAAAGACAGGTATGTTGTCCAGAAGTCTGTCTTTACTAAACTCCATACTTCATACATATGTTTTTTCTTTCATGTTTATTTGTAGCATAGTAAATGTAGTTCTCTTATTTTTGTTTAATCTCTAGCAAAAAGGTTTTAAGTTTTAAGAATTTAATTCTTAAGTTAAATATCTGATTTATAAAATGAAGTTATTATGACATTATTAGTAATAATAGAATTATTCTTGCATTTGTTTGAGTTTTCCTTAATCGTAATTAAAAAGATGCACCTTATAATTTAAATATTTGTGCTATATTCGTTGATTACTGTTAATTTACCCTTTACATATTATTAGTTAATAAATTGTTAAAAGGTTGAACAAATACTTACTCTCTATGGTGAATGTGCCATGCGAGGGGAATGGATAGCAAAGCCGGTGCTTGACTCGCCAAGTGCGGTCGTTGGCGACGTCCAGCACGAGGATGCCGAAGCCAGAGACATCTGCTACGTATACAAACGTATCCGCACAACTGTCGCCCTTCTTTCTCACATCCACGACCTGGAAATTTATATAAAAGTAGATTTAGAAGTTTGCGGAACAAAGTGACCTTTGCAAACCATCTGATGTATAAATGTTCTGTGGTAGCTTTTTAGTGCTTTTCTGGCCTCTATTTTTTTTAAATAAATTTAGAACTTGCTAGAATAACATTTTATAGATTGTCTGCGTATTGCCGTTGTGCCCTACATATGCCGTTCGGATATTCATAAATTTTGCCTTTACCCTTGACCACCTGAAATCTGTTTGGGGTTTTTCCACGATTTTTATACTCCTTTCAACATTGTCTACCTTGAAGTCTTATTATGTTTAATAATATTTTAAAGCTCAGTTGATTGTTTTAAACGTTTATCAAGTCACTGCGTCATGGTCATTGGTAAATCCAAATAAGTATGTTTACCATATAACGCGAGACATAAGTGTAGTGGATTGCCCAATTTTTTGTCAAATAAAAGTGTGATACACTCCTAATATTATCGACTGTTATAATCGTTTAATACTAGTTTCATAAGATTATTATTATACAGAGAGAATACCAGGTTTAATTAATCAGGCAAGCCACTTTAGTAGCAGTAAATTGAGCGTCGGTGGCTCAGTGGTTTAAGCACTTGACTTGTAATCTACAGGTATTGGGTTCAAATTCGGCCATGTACCAATGTGTTTTTCGAATTTCATATGTACATTATAAACCGACGATCTTACGATGAAGGAAAACATCGTGATACAACCTGTACACATAGACAAAAAATTCAAATATGTGTTAAGTTAACCAACCCGCACTGAGCCAGCGTGGTTGACTATGGCCTAGTCATCCCTTATTTAGGATAGGCTGCGAACCCCCAGTGGGGACTTATAGTGAGCTGGTGATGATTATTGTACATGTTTACTGACCGGTGTAATAAATAGTGATTCAGATGTATAACTCGTGTTGACAACTTTATGCCTGTAGATTAGCTCGTCGGTGCTTAAATTGAATGCAAGAATCTGCGGCGGACATCTCTGTTCTTCTCCTATTTTACCCGTATCCATTACCCAAAGACGATCGCATTCGTCTATCTGAAATGTAATCAATTACATTTATTAATAATTTCATAGTGAATTGATCTCATAATACATGAATATCTAGAATTATTATTGGAGAGATTATAAGTTTATATAAATAAACATGCAGTGTTATTACAGGTCATCTGTACACTGATAGTATTATATAACGTTTATGAATATAACAGTCAGTAGTTTTTAAGATTTCACTACTTTAGAACATGTCATCAATTATGTGTATTACTGAAAATCATTTATGGAAATAGACTGTACCATCGAATACTTTTCAGGAAAAGAATTAACGATGTTCTCCTAACATTCCAAAATTGAAAATATTTCATGTTGAATTTAGACCAAAAGACAATATGCCCGGAGAACACTTAATGTTTATGTCCGGTTCACACTTGGCTAGTACAGTTAGACAATTGCGACGGGTAGACATAAATTGTATGGATACTAGCGCCATTTAGTATTTACCCCTTTCCGGTTGATTGCTCCAGTTATTGAGCGTTACTTGCCAAGTATAAACCGTGCATAATGCTTTACTTATAAATGAGGATGTGCTTACTGCAACTCTGAAAACGGAGGTCATGCCATCGCAGTTGTAGCCTTGGTTGTCGTGCCAGGAGTAGTCGGGGTAGCCTCGAATGCGGCCGTCCTCTTCCACCACGCCGAACGTCACCGGTCGGCCAGCGTCGAAGCGCGGTATTGATACAAAGATGCGAGACTTTTGGGATCCTAACAACAAAGTAGTGCTTAAGTATAATCATAATCACAAATATTTCTAATATTATAAATGCGAATGTTTAGATTTATGGATATTTGTTAGAGTTTCTAGCCTAAACTGCTGAACGTATCTTTATGACATTTGGCAAAGATATAGAGGATAGTCTGGAAAAACACATAGGCTACTTAATTTTTTTTTAAATCTACGCCTATAAATAATTTCCAATAATGGTAACCAATTTCACTACATAATTTAAAAATCGAGCAATTTAATGCTTGCTTAATTTTAATATACATTTCGGTTATGACGTAAGTCTGTATAAAAGGATCAGCTGGTGAGTAGATAGTTATCCTTTAATGTATCATCCTTCATTCATCTCATATAAATGCAATAGTAATCAATTATCTTAGATTTATCTATGCACAAGCCTTCTTTCCAATCAACAATGGAAGTGAATCTCGTATTTGTCGCATCATCTACATTAATGAATGGAGTTAGTTAATGTCTATAATTTTCCAGGTCAGGAACAATCGATCCGTCTACATCTGACTCACATATTTACACACTATTTCTATGCTGCCTCTTGCGACACTACTGATGCATATGGAATATATTAACTATTAGCTGACGCCCGCGATTCGTCCGCGTGCAGGATTCATTTTAAACCAGACATTTAAGAAATGATTTGTTTATTATATTTTTTAATCTCCTAGTTTTAAACCCAAAAAAGGTACTTACAGATGCATGTACATTATGATATTGGAAAGGGGTTTTTTTAATGGAATTGTTTTTTAAATATTCATCCTCAACTTTATCCCCAAATTACATTTCCACAAAGAACTTAGAGATAAATTAATTTGGAGTATTCGCCAATGTAACAATAAAATCTCTGTCTAACATTTAAATGTCTAGACGAGATCCTCTAATTTTATGTTACAATTTTATCTTAAATCTATATTTAGAATTATTTAAACATTTTAAAATGTTAATAAGTCTAACTTTGTAAATAATTGCATTATCCGTCTCATGCATTAATTTAAGTTAGATTATTGTGCAAAAATTATATTTTCAAATAAATTAAAACCATCCGAGATAGGCCCGCTAGCATCTTTATTACCTAGATGTATTTATAGGCTTAAATTATTTTAATTTTATGCATGTATATGAGCAGGCGTTTGCTTAATATATTACTGCCATATCTATTTGGAAACATTATCCTGAGAGCTTCAATCAATTTCATAAATACTGTGATTTCTCTTTTTTTACCTCAAACATGTTTACACTTATATAAACAACTATTACTTTTATTTTACACTTTCTAAATATTATTTATTACATCTATTGGTGATATATGTTTAATTTATTTTTTAATACTGATTTCATTTTAGTTCTGTTTAATTTTATTTTAGTTATGATTATTTAATCCATTGTTAATATGAATATGTTATGACATATTATGGTACACTTTTTTTTAATTTTGGAAACAATCAAAATGCTTACCTTTTCTATGATGAACTTCGACATCAATGGGTACCGAGTTACCTCGGACGTAATAATTTTCCCGAGCTGCTCTTTGTTTGGCCTCCTCGCTAGGGTAAACGAAGTCCATCTCAGCCCATTGTCTAACAACTCTCAATTGATTCTGCCCGTGCAGACCTTGCCAGCAGCATGCAATGCAGTACGACAACAGGAAGAATCTTTCAATGCCGAGACCCATCTCCCACTTGTGAGCTTGCAATGTTAATGGATCTGAAATTATATAAAATTTCTTTGTATTTATGCAATACTAGATTTCGCCCGCGATTCCGTTCGCGAGGAATTAAAAAAAATAAAACAAAAATGCAGGCCTATGAGTCCTTGCCGTTCCTCTACATCCGTTCAGCAGATTAGGCTGCAAACTCTAACGAGCATCCAACCATGCATGTAAACTTTCGTACTTATAATAATAATATAGTTAGAAGTAACATTTGAAAATTATAGGTATTTCCAGTGAGTTTAAAATGCGTTCGGGACTTGTGCTTAGGTGTTCATCATGACATCGAAAGATGGGAATCGAAGCGACGATCTCGTGAGCGGTAGTCAATGCCCTTAACTACATTAGTATCGATACAGCGTTGTATGTAAATATCAATATTCTCTGCCTAAGTTTCATTTAAGGACACGACTTTGTAATGTTCATATTTTAACCTTCATTTATTACTGACAGAGTCATTAAATGTCTATTTAGTTAATTAATACTTTAGTTTAAGGAAACTATTAATACCATCTTTGTAATTGATGGAAAGGTATATTATAAAGAATGTTTCTAGTTAAATATTATAAAACACTTACATAAAAAATTGCAGTAATTTTATAAAACTATAAAAATATTTTGAATTTTTATTTGACAATAAAATACCATACTACTTAAGTTATAGCCATTACAAAGAGTAAAATGCTTGAGCCGAAATGCTATCTTATAAATAAATTGAAGCTATTGTCATCATTAATTAGCATATAATTTGAATTGATAATTTCACCAGATAAAGTACTCGAAATATTTAAATTGTATCTAGGTAATTAGTATTTCTGCGAATCTTACAAAATTCAAGTTAAAGTAGATATATTATATTAAAGGTTTCTAAAAAAGAATTTGATGAAACTTCGTAAATTGTATATAACTGATAGTTTTGTGCTCATGAAAATATCATAATCAGTTTTAAACAGTAATAAATTAATAGTTTAGATCAAGATTCAGAAAAAAAATTACCATATCGACCAAGCAGTTCACCACAAATTCTGTATTGTTCCACTGTTGGAGGCAACATCTTGTATGAAACACTTATCGACTGACACTAATTCAATTTGCACCTTCTTTTTGTATTTCACACAAGTTACTTACAGTTATTTTTGTATTAATTTTCTAATGCCGCAGTAATTTGCACATCTACCAATATGTATAAAATACTTGTTAAGTACCTACATTAGATATTTAAAAATATTTTTTTCACAATTTTTTTTGCGATTAATTAGAAAATTCTCGAATACTTTCGCTGAAAGAAATTTCTTCTATCAGCCAGTAAATTAAAGTTTTTTGTTTGTAATTTCGAAAGAAGTTGAGGACAATCACTAGTTAATGATAGTAAAGTATTTAAAACATTTCTCTTATTTGTAATTCCTTTCGGTATTCATTAAGATAAACCTGTTTTACACTAATTTGAAATGTAATGTTATCAAGAATGTAAGCTGCAATTACAAAAATACCGTAATTTAGAGAAACACTTAAAATAATTAAGCGTTTTAATCTTCAAAACCAGTTAAACAGGATTTCAATGTATAAAAAACGCCGCACTTTTAATATTATATTACAATAATAACTCAATCGCACGTGATTGGCAGAAAAAACGAAAACATTGGACGCGTTTAAAAAAACTAAAAAAAAGTTTTGTGGAACGTTCCACGTGCGATACACGCGTGTACTAATTGGCTTTCGCCAAAAAACTGACTAAAGAATCAATATTTTCTTAATGACAACTGTCCCCACCTTACAAAGGCATTAACCTCTTGCTTAATAGTTCACACTTAAATATTGTCAAAGCAAAATCGAGTGATGTCATTGAACCACTTACGGTAATTTAAATACGAGATGATTTGTCTATGAGGCAGGACTTGGCTAATTCTTTTAGCTTAGCGAGGAATAGCAATTTTACGACATGTCTTTTGACATATCTATCGATAATTTTAGACACGTTTGTAGTCTAGCTTGCCTCAGATCTGAAGAAGTCGGCCAGAATATAAAAGGCATATCCGTTAAAGGCTTTAAATTATGACATTAGTGAGTTTTACAGTTTTTGACCAAAAATTTCGCCCAAATGCAGTATAAACCCGATGTTAGGCTCGCTTGGGCGGTTTTATATTATTTTTAAAGTAAAAAAGGGGGAGTAGGATTCTCTTCTAGGATGCTACTTATGTTAAAACCAGTATTGTCTTCAAAAAGTTGCTTCATTTAGAAACTTTTTTTTCCTTGTTATGAAAATTAGGCACACGGCATTCAAATCTAATAGCACGCGAATAAAAAACGTCGTTTCGATAACAAATGAATAGAATAACATAATTTACGACTGAATTCATAATGAGATATATGTGAGGAAAAATTTCATAAACACCATTATAATCATCAATGATTAAATAATATACGACTAATTCTAGTTTTATTTTTAGTTCATTTTGATTAAAAGTCATAAACTTTCGGTATACTATGCTAAGGTCTAGTATCTCCGCGTCATTACTGCTACAGTGAAGGTAAATTTTCATTGTCAATACTTAGTCTAGATTATTATCATCATCATCCACTTGCCCTTATCCCTTACGGAGGGTCGACACAGTATGTGCTGCTCTTCCATACATCTCTATCAGCCGTCATATCTGAATCCACTCCTTTCTTAAGCATGTCCTCTTTCACACAATCTATCCATACTTTCTTCGGTCTTCCTTTACCTTTGTATCCATCCACATTCAATCTTAACACTTTCTGGTTTATGTCCCCATCGACTCTCCACATAAAGATTAGATTATTATCTAATCTTTAAAAAAAATATTCCGTAGGAGTAATTCAGCAGTGAAAACTCACTGACACACGTATAACTATTATAATGATGCTACAATTTACTTCTCGTAGTTTTTATGCAATTGATAATAATGTAATTCGGATCTGGCAATAATTATATCGTGTATCGGCCCATTAATTGCTATTGCATAAATCGTTTTCTGCATACAATAACATTATTTTCTATAATCAAAGGATGTAACCAACGCAACGAATAATTTCGTTAATATTCGATAATTCAGTCATTATTTTGAAGGCAAATCAACTTAAATGGTTTTTATTTCGTTTTAAATTTCTAATAATACCTAAAACATAGATCAAAGCACTGATAGTTCACTAAATGGAATCCAAAAATGATTCGCGGATCAGGATTTTGTTCCAAAGTTTTTTGTCAAACCATTATCGCGGATTTTTAATATTGTATATTAATTTTAACGAACTGCCTAACGAATTGCTTATACGTATTGACACTTGATAAGTATTAAATTAGTTAAATTATTGCACAGATAAACTATTAACACCACATTAAATAAATTGATATAGAAACTCCCTTCACTGTGATAGATCTTGTTAGACTAAACAGTGAAGGCGTGAAAGGGTTCTTTTTTAATGCGACAGAATAATTTATAAGGAAAACTATCGCTGTTGTTTATTCTTACGGCGGATCGTGACTTAGCCGAGAAACATCTCAGTTTTTGTTATCTAAACCGCCATTATCGAGCTATTGTGATGTAATTACCTCGATCTTGGCCGGTTAACCGTTTCGTTACCACAAAACGTAACATTGAACTTGAAACTAGTAATATGTGTATATTACTAGTTTCAAGTAATCAACTATAAAACAAATGAAAGAATTACATTCCACTTTTAAATTTTCGTCCGATTGGTTCCAAATCTTGTCATCTCCGGATGTTGGAACGTTCACTTAGATTCCGATTCTCCATTGACACTATTTTCTCTTCATCTATCCTAAACTTTACTGTCTAGAGATCTCTTAAGGTATAGTATCAGTCAGTAAAATGTAAAACGTATACAAATTCGTATATTAAAGTAAAACCAATTACCAGAAGTACCCAAACGTAACCTAATTAACTGGTAACGCGCTCACCCGTAAGATTTATCCATGTAAAAGAGATGTCAGTTGTAGTCTTAGTTATTATTTTTTTTCTTACGAACACCTTCAGTCACCTACATCCTCTCCACGATACACTTTAATATCATCACGCTCATTTGGTGATAATTAGATAAATTGCATCGCCAACTCAATTTTAGTTTTATCTCAATCAAATATAAATTAATTTTATTCACACGGTAAAAAATGCAAAGGAATTTTAATTAAATGTCTTACAAATTAAAGTGTCACTAAATGTCACGAGATGGCGTTAGTTGTCATTCCAGCTGACATCTAATATTTTGTTAATTACCGCGGCGGGACGGTCGATGGTTTCTGTAATATCAGAAACAAACTAAATCTGCAACTACCGTAACTATAAAGATAAATATTTAAACATAAACATTTAAAAACACTCCAGTTTTTTTAAAGTTGTTTACGTAAATAAGTAATAAAAAGATTTGTTTTGTGATGGAATATAATTTGTATCGTTGCAGTTTTAAAGGATTTCACCAGATTTAAAATAAGGAAATGGCATAGTAAGTGAAGTTATTTTACTTTTTCTAATTGTAATATAAACTGTTACTTCGGATTTTATTCAGTATATTAGAAGCAAATTTATGAATTGCATATAAACCAAAAGTATCCGATATCGATAACCGCTGATTATAGGTTACTTTCTTATTATCTTTAATTACATTTGGTTTTATAGGATCGATACAATATTAACCAATCATAATAAATCGTTGGAAAAAATTAATTATCATCATGTTGAAAGAAAATCTCGAAGACATTTTCTGAACGCATTAAATTGCGTATTAAAAACGTAGAAATCAATTGAAAAGAAAGTATGAACTAAACAGTTATAATCAAGCCAATCGTAATTCCGTAACTGTACCAGCAATAATTTTAACGGCCCCTAACTAACCATAAGATTGGAAAGTAAAACCATGGGAAGTTATTGTAAAATTTCTCCGATCACACTGAATTATTCTCTGTTCGTTGGTTTCTTTTAAACGATATTTTTATTACTAGCATTTGAAAAAGGGTATTAATATTTTATAACCGAAAAATGCAAATCTACCGTCATAATACAAACAGTACAAAAACTTGAGTTAGCATTTTAAAATAGAGAACAATTTTGAAACATCGGTAAACCAGTCATTAAAAAGTTATAAATTTTATGGAAATTACCTGTTTGAAGTCACGTAAAGTTGTAAAAGCATCGGCGTGGAGCACAATATGATCATTCACTGTAACACGTTATATATTTCAAATACATTAATAAATAAAACCGTGTGAACTAACATGTAAAGTAACTATCAAATGACATTATTATTTGAACACAAACAGATTTATAATGACGAAGAGTGAATTCCACATGCGATTATTTCTTTGTTATCATTGTTAATTGCTTTTTATCGTTTATTTACATACCGTAATAGCACTATGTATTACATAATATAACAATTAAAAATAATGTATAAAATAAAGAAGCTCCAATTTTTAACATACGTTAAGGGGAAGCTATTATTAAATCTTAAATAAAGAAATTACTAATTTTTGTTATTAAAGTTAACACTAGTTTTCCTAATTGTTGAATTAGAACATTATAAGAGTGTCGGTGGCTAACTTTTTTAAGCACTTGGGTTCGTATCCCGCCATGTACCAATGTGATTTTCGATTTATCGAATTTTCATATGTACATAATTTACCCGTCGTTCTTATGGTGAAGGAAAACATCGTGGTGCAACCTGCACATATCGGCGAAGAAATTCAAAGATATGTGTGAAGTCAAAACGCACTTGGCAAGCATGGTTGAGTAAGGCCTAGTCACCTTTACTTATGGTAGGCTCCGAGCCCCTCGGTGGGGACGTATAGCGAGATGGTGACGAAGTTTTTCAAATAAGTTTCAATTTTTTGTGTTTGTATTTGTTAAATAAATAGTTACAAAGTTTTGTAACCTTATTGTAACGTGAGCTAAGTTACATTAAAAAGCAACTTATACCGTTAATCACTTGTACCATTGAAAATACAGACGGAACATTTTTGTTTTTGCACATTTTTGAACTCCAAATAGCAATCACAAGTACCGTAAAAGTAAATAGACAAAAATCGGAAGAGTATTAAAAATAAATATATAGAAAAACGCCACTGTCAGAATATAGCAACAAAAAAGATGATTCTTCTTCACAATCGATGTAAAAAACGATTAGCAAGTTAACAACGGGTTTTAAACTGGTTGCCAGTTACGTCATCTTTCTATAAACTTGAATATTTATATTTATATTGTTATGTTGCATCAATGAAGGATCTTCTAAAGGACACGGATTCCGATTCGTAAATTTTAGAATAGGTAGATAGCTAAAGGCTCTATACACTAATTGAAAGTCCGAAATGAAAGATACAAATTAAATAGTGACAAATGTCCATTTTGTCAATATAGTGAGGTAAAATTAAGTTTAGTAATATAAAAATAGGTAATTTATATAATTTGACTTGAGTAATAAAGACTTGATTAATGTAAAAGCACAAAGTTTAGGTCTTCATTTGGTACAGTATTAGTATAGTATAGTATAGTATTGTTTCACCAGTACATTGTATCTTTGTTGGTTTCAAGGTGACATCGTCGGTGTCATATGAGGAAAATCGGGAACAAAATGCACGGTGAGCATCTTTGCATTTCTAATCTATACTACTATTATTAAAAGAAAAGATTTGTATTTTTGTATATATCGCAATAACTCAAAAACTACTGGGCTGATTTAAAAAAAAATCTTACACCATTAAAAAGCAGCGTAATCAGAAACATAGGCTATGTTTTTTATCATTTTTTAAATATCGCACCGACGAAGTCGCGACCAACAGCTAGTATGAAATAAACGCACGTGCTTGAATAAGTAACTAGCGAAAAATGTAAGTTAACATCGACCATTACTACAAAAAATAAAACAATACATAATTTGCGTTCACAATTTAAACGGAAAAACCTAGAGTTTTTGAAATCAAGATATTATTTGTATGTTTAAAATAAAATTGATTATTCAACAGTGAACTACCGGAAATATTTTTTAAAAATCAAAATGGACATAAATTAAACAAAATCGGATAAATAAAATCTTCTCTTAATAGTCATGAGCTTCGAGATAGTGTCGGTAGCGCAGTGGCTAAATAATGAACCTGTTATCTACAGGAGAGGGTTTGATCCCGCCATGGAAGAATCTGTTTCTATTCATATCGTAATTTCGAACCTACAATTGAGTATTGTTCTAATTTCTATAAACCTATTTGCAATTCGTCAAATTCATGTTATCTTATAATATTTTTTCGTAAAGTTATCGTTTTATATGCAGACATAACCTTTAATTCAAAGACGGCAATTACAATGCTTTTGATTGATACTTGTTTTTTAAATGTAATAATCGGATTAATTTTGATTTGAAATATGTAAAGTTTTTTATTAATACCGAGAAATATACATGCTTAAACGATAGCTATCAATTTTTTTTAATTAAATTAATATCTTGTAATTATGACTCTTTGTACTAATTTATTCTAACTGCAAATCCTAATATTAATGTGCACAAAATATTTCGAGTTATTTCCTTATAATTTTTTGCATATATTTTTTTATATTTCTCGTAATCATTCTAGTTAAGTTTAAAGCTTACGTTAAAATATGGTTTACTATATTGACGTCTAATGACGGGTTTGAACCTACGTTTGTGTCATCGATTAACCGTTAGACTATTGGCGTTTTGACTGTTTCCCGTTGGGCCGATCGGCCTGAATAAGCAAGAAGTAAAAATAACATAACATTTTAAAAAATGTAAAAATCATGTTACATAATTTGTATTACTTTAACGGTTTGATTGTTCATTATACTTCCAGATATGGAAATATAAAAAAAAAACAAACTGTGTGGGAAATATAGATACGTAATAAATACCGGCCACCTTGGTAATGTCCAATCCTTTGACCACAATTATTTTAACACGTGTTCATAAGTGAAGATATATCTGTTATTCACGGAATCAATTACTATAATAAAAATGCATCAAAGTCATGGGTCATAGCTACTGGTCGATAGAATTTAGTATTACTGATTTATTTTAACGCTAGGTTTCGCCCGCGACTCCGTCCGCGCGGTAAAAAAAACAAAAGCAAGTAGCCTATGTGTTCTTCCAAACTACATCTATGCCAAATTGCATCGAGATCACTTCAGTCGTTTAGGCTACAAACTCTAAAAAAACATCCATCCATCTAACCATTTAAACTTTGAATTTATAATATTAGTAAGAAGTAAGATTGTCAACTAATATACGAGTATGTATCTACACCGAGGGACTCTCGAACTATAAGGGGAGATTAGATCTTGTTAAATCATTCATTACTACTACTAATAAAAACTTTTCATTGAGTAAATCGTTTTATTTATTTTGATTATAAACTTGTTTTCAATTAAAATCATGAAGTAAACAAAACTAATGAGAAAAAACAAATTCATAATTAAGTGTTTAAACAAGACACCATACATACCTCAAATAGTCAGCGATGTAGTAATTAAAACTGCCGTTTTTCAGTTTAAATCGGGCCGTGATTTTTTTTGCGGGAACTTAAATATGATTGGAACAGCGTGCGCGATACGCGAGATGCGAGCGTGTACTGTTGCGAAACACTCCGAGCTTATTAAATAACACCGGTATTTGGCTGACCCGAACCCGAAGTAACATCTTCCTTTAACAACTTGAAGGTACAAACATCATCATAAATTGTTACTTGACCACAACACGTACACTGTATTCTCGAAATCCTTATGTTTGAAGTTTACATTTGTTAATGCCATTTAATGTAGACGCTATTTTTCATGTTGGGACAGTTTGAAATAAAGGAAAAATGCTAAGATTTTTAATGCTTCCTTTTGAGTTGAAAATCAAGACAGGTCACGACTACTAAATATGAAAATTACATGACATTTTTTTTTCAACTATCAAAATTTCAAAGTCCAAATAAAATCTAAAAAAACCTTGTTGGAAATCGACCTCTCACGACATTGAAATCATATTTCCAACGGCACCGAACCACTGGGTCGTTTATTTATGAATAATAATCATTTTTTATTAAATTAAGCGTTTAGGAAGTTCAAACGAGCATTACTAATAAATATTGTGACCGGTTTCAAAAACGATTCTGATCTTTGTAAAATAAGAATTCGTATAATTTGTTTTAAATTCATAACCATCACTAACGTAAATGTCTAACAGTGTAAGGAACTGGTAGTCTGTTAATAGCTAATAGAAATTACTACACACATCGTAGTGCCATTCTTTTAGGAAAACAGAAGTGTTATCTGCAACAGAGCGATTTGTAACAACCTTTTTGGATAGTTAAATAAAGTAAATACATAACCAGGCCAACGTTCACTATTTGGTGATAGTCACTCAATTTTCTACAGTTTTTGCACCTTTGCACTTTCTTGTTTTATCTTTTCATTTCTTTTGAACATTTTAGATAAAATCCGTTATAACAACAAAAACGTTTATAAAAACATTGATAATGGTTTGTTGACATATTTGAATCTTTGAACTAACTGTATATATTTAAAGACGAGACAATTGCATTGCATAGGACAGATTCAGGATATGCGATATATATTTAATATATCTACATTGTCCCTTTTTAAAATACCTAAAACATCTTCCAAACTCAGAGTAGGTTAATGCTTACTTAAACAGTCTAAAAGTGTAGACTTTTCATTTTTAAATGTATTCTAAAGATATCTCTATTTAATTCATAATAATTAGAAAACAACCTCTATGTAAAATAGTATCCTATTGTTGAAAAGCGTAAGATAATTATAGTATCCGATATTTTAAACAAAACATAACAGTGTGTCTATTATAAATCGAAAATTGCAATGGTATTATTAAATTATAAGGAGTAGTGAAGCATTAAGTTAATAACTCAATATTTTAGTTAAATATTATCTGAACAATAATCAGATATAATTAAATATAAACATTTAACCTGGACGGTACGATCACGATAACCAATTATAATGTTTTGAACGACCTAAATAACTTAATCTACAATAAAGAAACAAACAAAAACCGCGATTATTGCAGTCGATCAGGCATTTAAGAAATAACAACATTAAAATATAAACAGAACAATAGAAAAATTAACTACAATTAAAACAAGCAGATGTAGGAATGCTCTTCCCGAAAGAAACAAATGAAAAATGCGATCTACTTGTCATCTTCTTAATGAATTCTCCCTCTATTATCTGAATTCCCTGCTTATTCAAATAAAAAGTCTTCCAAGGCTAAGAAGTCCTGGTCACTCATGTATAAACACAAGTCAGAAAATGCGCGTAGCCGAGGCTAATGGCTAATGTAATTAAATACAAAAGAAGATTAGACAATTGCTTATATTGTTATTAAAAAGTAAGAGATCTTATATTGTTATTAAAAAGTAAGAGATAATATTTAAGATAATATTGAATACTTTTAAAGAAATAAAATTTTCATTTTCATATTTCATTTCAATTATTAACAATTAATTACGAGACACAGATAGCTTCACTTCAATATGAATCTGCGTACAAAAATCACAAATTGTTAATTTTCATGTCACTATACTAAACACAAGATTAGTAAACAACAAACTGACAAAGTCAATGACTGCTAAAAAAATCGATCGATAGCGTAGCGAAACAATTGACAATCACAGGATGCATAGTTAACCCGAATAACCAATTTGTTTCATGCCTAACTTTCGACATTATTTCTATACTATAGTACCTGTCAGAAAGGTTATTTCGCCTTTTTATTGTATAAAAAATTAAGTGATAGCACAAATTATAACCTATTAAATATGCATTTGTGCTTTTAATAATCACATTCTGAATTACTTTTCTATAATGTCATTTTGTATCTTAACACAATTAATTTTATTTCGAAAGTACTAAAAAGCAATTTATGTAGGTCCAGTAGCTTATTAGCGCTTACGCAAAATTGATTAAGCTTTTTATAGTAATAAAGCTCTATCATAAGAATTTTAATGACCATGTTAATGATGTTTTAACACTTATTGGCATGAAAAGCTACAAGACTTTGTCAGGATGACGTTAGATTTAAAGCAAATATTTATAATAACAATGTATTTGAATAAACAATAGAGATAATTAATTAATATTACAACAACAGCACATCGTTTGACTATATATTTGTCTTAAATAATAAAATACTTAACATATAATCACGATCTCTGTAAAGGTACTTAATATTATATTAAACAACTAGCTTTCGCCCGCGACTCCGTCCGCGTGGGATTAAGAAAAAATAATAGTGAGTAGCCTTTGTGTTTTTCCAGAGTATCCTCTACGGCTATGCCTAATTTCATCGAGATCCATTCAGCCGTTGAGGCTACAAAGTCTAACAAATATTAATCCATCCATCCATACATACATACATATAAACTATTACATTTATAAGATTAGTAAGATCTAAATAGCGAAGTTATTGTCTGTAATTTTCTAAAATAACAGTAAATATTTATGTGTTAGCACAGATAATCCAATACCATATAAGTAGATATAGGTTAAAAATAAAAAAAACATTTTTTTGTGGTTAAACAAATTCGCAATGCAATTTTGCATCATGAACACATGAGTCGATTCTATTACAAAGGACAATTCTGATTGAGCCAATTACTAACGTATTCTCAGAAATATTTCATGCAATGAATTGCACGTACAATCACGACTAAAATTAGGGATGATCATAATTTTATGATTATATTAAATTATGTTAGGCGCTAAATTACTTACATAAAATAAACAAAGACAATACATCCCCAGGATTTATTAAGTAAGTTCTATAAGAGAGCATCCTTAAGTTTTAATTTAATCTATCACTAACTGAAAGTATAATTTTTAAGCCGCTTAGAATATCGTACAGCGGGGATCCCCGTGTTAGCTTTACTTGGAATTATTGTGAAAAAGCTAACGAACTAACAGCATTAAGCCAATAGCCATAAGAGATCATCTACGCAATCTTAGCTTGTATTTACTTCACACTAATACCATATGACGTTATTCTTAAGAGATATTTGATCGGGAATTCTATCTTGGGATAATGACGTCATAGTGGAACACCACATGTTTGCTAAGTCACGACCTCACGATGTGCGAGTCGCGTCTTGCAGGTAAACATCGCTCATAATATTTGCACTGGGTAATGATGAACACGCAGTAATATTAATATTTAGTTAGTTACTAATAATTAAACATTGCCAGCTCGGACAGATGATTGTTACCTACCTCGTAACGGCCGAACGAATCTGGATGAAATTTACAACAGAGACATTACAGTCTGTAATTGTGCATAGACACAGTTTGTTTTTTTTTTTAAAAGAAACGGACAAAGTTGTGACAATATTATATGTAGGGAAACAATAAGGAAGACGCTATTTTTTCATTGTTAATCTCAAGAATCCTTTACGTACCGTATGCGTACGACGTAAATAGGAAATTATGCTTTAAAAACATTAAATTAATATATGTATATCTTTTTTCCTTTATAAGTTCTTGCATAAGGTTTCGTGCAAAATTTATCGTCTATAAATCTTTCAAATCGTCAAGATTAAGATCGTAATAAAGATTTTAGTTTTAGTTGTCCTCAACTTACATTATTGAATAATAATCGCCAGTATGGATCTTCTGTAAAATATGACTTTTGCAGTTCCAGTTTGTAAGGGCTGACGACCAGTTTTTTTTTTTTCAAGAAAGTAAATCTTACTGATATTATAAATGCGAAAGTTTAGATGAATAGATGGATGTTTGTTCGAGTTTGTAGCCTAAACTGCTGAACAGGTCTCTGTATATGGCATAGATGTAGAAGATAGTCTGGAAGAACACATAGGCTATTGTTTTTTTACTTCCACGCCGACGTAGTCACGGGGTAAGCGAGAAGTTAATAAAAATATAATTTCACGGTTTTACAACATTTTATTCATATGAAGAATCGATATACATTTCACCTAGTGTATAACTATAAGTACTATTGAGAGCTAACATTTTAATTGCCATTACATTCATTATGTATCTATATAATAAATCAATAGCAATATTGTAGGGTAACTATTTACAAAGCTTATTACGAAATAAGTATAAAAAATAAAAAAAATCAAGTATACATTGTAATTTTACATTCAGTAGAAGCAATACAGAATCTTTAATTTCCTTTAGTACATACTCACTGGTTAAAAATAAATTCTTCTAGAAATAGGTAACTTATAAAATACAAACCCTACGCACTCAATTGTCATGGTAACCAACATCAAGGTACATTATTTAAAAATAAAATAATCGCATGTTTATTGAAATTATTTTAATAACTTAATAATTCGACATTATCCGCAAGCTGCCGTTTTTCAAGACATTTTGTATAAACCTGGCATAATATAATTTTATTATTATCTATATCTATTTCACATTTTAATTACTGGCTTCCTGTTACATTTTGTTATATTTATGGCTAAATATGTTAACAGACGATGTTTTAGAACACGTTACCGAAAAATAAAATTGACTTAATTGGAAAAAAAAAATGTTTGGATCTGTAAAGGATTATAGCCTTGATCATAATAAAGATTATTTATTAGGTATAAATTATTATTAAATAAGCATGCATCACATTTTATATGTATGACTAAAACCACGTCAAACGAAACTAACCTAAAACCAATCAAGCGAGAATACAAGCACTAAGTACCGAAACAAGCATGACAGTTACATTTTGTTACACATTGTTTTACAATTGGAAGTGTAAACTAAAATAAACTGACTGCCATACTAAAGGATTCTTAAGTCATCCCTAAGCAGCCAATTACTGTTGCTTTTGTGTACTATAGATACACTAACGGACTGCCTTAGTAACAAGACTGAGTGTGGTTGGTCATGAAAGTAAAACAATACGATACAATTTTCCAAAACTTGTTAAATGAAGCAATAAAAAATAAATAATTAATTCTTAAACACGAAATGAGATGACATATAAGAATACAAATGGGGTAGGCAGAGAATAGCAAAGCCTCTTTTATCGAGATCTTAGTTTTTTGATTTAGTACTGTAATGTTATAGTTAATTGTATAGACAAATATCAAGTTGTGTACTAAAACTGAAAAGAAATTAAGCTGTTATTCGTTTTATTACTTTCTATTTTGTAGGCGTTAGGATCAAATCTCTGTCTACCCCGATGCACGGACGTGATTATATGAAAATTATAGAAAATAAAGTTAAGTATAACTGCCGCACTCATTGTCATTCAATTAAATTATACAGTAAATTGTAGATTTAGTGTTACACTAACTGCTGCATTCAGAGTCTTTAAGCGGGACTACCTCTTAGTGTAGATTTTATTACTTACTCTAAATGCAAGTATTTAGGTAAACGTTAAATGAATTTGAGTGTGGCATATGGTTTTTAAAACATTTAAAATGCAGGGTCGTTTAAATAGGATTTGGGCATACTACTTTAGGGGTGCCAGAGTGAATTTAGTAAGCGTCTGATTTGGTTAAAACGACCCTGTGTAATTGTTGGCTCAGTATTGCGTGGCGTTGAAGTGCGTGGCAGCGCGTCGCAGCACATGCGGCTGTAGACTCACGTAGGCGCCGTCCACCACACGCACTATCCTGATGTTAATCTGTAAAAATACATTTATATTACAATTATATATATTTATAATGTCACATAATCATAAATATATTTTGACTTTATCCTGTTTTTAACTTGTCCAGTTTAATGATTTGTTTTGGTAATTCCTGTAATTCAATTAGTTATCATTGCTTCGTTTATTTATTTATAGTTGACTATAATCGCAATGATTTAAATGAAGTTGGTATGATCTATGTTATTGGTACACAAAATAACACGAAAAATAGAAAACCAAGACTAAACACCAACTTCCAAATTGGAAGTTGGAGGAAGGACAAGTAAGTACAAATGATAGCTAACTTATGTGTATACATACATTACGTACGTCATGATAATAAAAACTACGTACAGAAATGCGATGCTTTGCAATAATATAATGTTGTCACGAATACAAGTTCACATAACATTGGAGTTTCCGAGACCTCGTTGGCTTCAGCGATAACTGGCATTTAGGGTTGGTTCACATGCCGTAAAATAAAAAGCATCACGCTTATAACCCATGACGGTAGACAAATATTAACGATAAGAACAATTCTAATACATCTCTATATTTTTAAACGTGTACACTTTTTTTTTCACTTTCCTATAAGTTTCTTCTGGACAAGGCCTACGAATATTGCAAGTCAAAAATCTTAATTCATTAAGTATGCTCGCATTAATTTTATTTGTCAAGTGTTTAAAAAGTTCACAACGATGTCCACAGTGTGTATAGCCCTAAAGACTAATAACCTCTTTGTAAATGATAAAGTAGTCATTACATTGCACATTGTAATATAGATTTTACATCGGAAATCCGCCAATTAAAATAAACAAGTATTAATTGGGTTTCTATTGTCATAATATAGATATCATTTACCCTTTTCTTAAGTAAACATAATACGAGTATGGATGAATTCTGAGACTCAATTAGGTCAATGCATATTAATAAGATTTTGGTAAATATATATTTTCCTCCTAAAACCATTATTGAATTGGATACAATGGAGAATTATCCGAGGCACGACGTCAATTTTAACTGATCAGCCGAAATGTACAATACATTACTAATTACAATTACGAATGTAAGCAAAATTGAGCACTGTGCAGTTTACACAAGCTACAACTTAACCCGTCAGTTTGTTGTTATGACAAATTTTCGACGTACATTGTGATGATAAATTGGCATTTTTACGTAATGGGTAGGAAATAAAAATCCTGGTCTGTACCTCGTGTTTAGAGATAGTTCGCAAGAAGTACTTCTGGAATCTCGAAGAAAGAGCCCATACTGCGCCGTTGTCGCGCTCCGCCCACCGCACCTCCGCACAGAACTGCAGTTTCTCTGCGTCCTGCGCCAACAACCTGAACAACACATGATATGTAAAAGCAAAGAACAGGCTACATATACGACAATTATAAAGACTTTAAAGAAATGTATAGACTAGGCATAGTGAACAATTTTTTTTTACCGGTAATTTATCTGACAGGTAACATATCAGTTATCAAGTTTAGTACGCCACCTCGTGTCCTTGTATTGACATGTAATAAAATGTTTTAAAAAATTATAATAAGGTCCAACTATTATATTTTTTTAAAATAAAGTAAGCAGAATAAAATGTAAACATTTAAATAACAATTAAAACACCTGTTGACAATTAAATTGACATATGGTTTCCAGGCTGTCGACAGATAGCGTTAGTGATGATTATGCGAAAAAATGTGAACTGACAACTATGCTTACTCTATACATTTTTAGAATCTCATTGGATGATATTAAGGAGGAACCTGGATTTCTAAATTATACTCCGGTCCGAAAAGCACTTGCAGCACCAACGCTCTTTAAAATAACTACTCGTTTATTTTTACCTGTGAGAATTGGTGATGGGATTCCAAGCGACGATAGCAGTTTCAGTCATCGGGCTGAATATGATAGTGTCGTCTCTAGGATCGACGGTAACGCCGAGACCCTGCGAGGATTTGCGACCCACGAGGTTGACTGGCAAATCCGCACCCTCCGCCAGAGGTCCCGCGGATAGTACCGCTGTTGACACGCTAAATAATCTGCAGAAAACATAGACATAGTTAATTTTATTAGTTTCTTTTATTGATTATATCTTTGGGCATAAATACATCTAAGGCTAATGACAATAGTTAGAAAGTATTCAAGAATTCAATGAAAAAACAACGGAATTGTCTCTGGTGCCTTAATAAAATAAACATCTGAATTATATGTAAGCACAATATGTTGTACCTATGTCCGACCTTTATTTTGTAACAATGAAATTAAACAAAAGTGATTAACATGGTAGGTATTGTTATATTTTTCCGGAACCGACAAGTTTCAATGTCATTATAGGAATGCAGTCTCAATGATAATTATGTCACTTCAATTGTTCTAAAATAAGGTATATTTTTATCTACTTTTATTCAGTTATCTGAAGGTTTGAAATGATGACTGTTGACCTAGTATCAATTTTCCTGTCCCCATTTTTATGCAAACCAAGTACATTACGGTGAACATGCGCAATGTGTAGAAATTATCTTATCATGTAATTTCCCTAGCCCTGCTTTCAATTATCATATCATTCGATTTGCAATAGTTTCCCTTTCTTTATATAGATGTTGCCCTCTACTAGTTATCCTATGTTAAATAAAACAAAATCGACCATAAACACCTAGAATATCAAAGAAACTACCAAAACATTGTATTTTCATTCAAATTATGTTGAAAAAATGACTAGATTCTTCATATATTGAACTGTTCCGCTTTGTTAAATATCTTATCTACTTTAAATTTTGAATACATAACACGTTTCTCATAACCGTTCCTTGTTTTTCTCACCTATCGGTAGCGAGTGGTTGGTAGTAAAGAAGTCCCTGTGCGGGGGAATGCGCCAGGCCCACGACACCGTCCATTAGAGTGAACTTCTCGCCGGTGATGTCTATCTCACCGAGGTTAGGGTCGGGATACATTGACGCGTGGGTTACTCGCCATGCGTTGTCGCGACGGCTGTCGTACACGATGATACCTGTAAACAAGAATATAAATCAGTGTAAACTAGTACTAATCACTTCAGCTACATACTTTGATACTAGAATGAGAGAGGAAGTGTTCCTGATTTAGAAAATTTAGGAAAATAATTGAATGAAAACATCGCATTTACGCAATACTCTACGATCTTGTTACATAAAAAAAAACATTTCTCGGAATCTCAGGTTAATTTAATTGGTTTACAACCGCTCTTACGTCATATGAAGAAAGTTAACTGTGAACAGCCGCTCTCGCGAACTACAATCAACTTACCCGCGATAATAATTCGTGTCAAGAACATAACAATTATTTTAGAGGCCATACAATACCTAAGGCTTTCCAACTATTATGTGAATATGACAATCAGTTACGTTATGCGTTAAGAAATATGTAAAGAAGCTGAAGGTAATGTCCTTATTGTGCTTAGATATGATAAAGAAAACAGTATTTAAATTTAGGATATTTATTGCTTTAGAAATATGTAAAAAATCTTCATAAGTTTCTTTGCAATGTGTGAACGTGCACATTCGCAGTTGACGAAAGAAATCGGCAAACAAGAAATCCGTTTGTTTGTTGATTCGCGTGTTAAAAATTGATCAAGAGATAAACCTTATATCGACACAAATAACACAATTATGTTTGTGTAATACGGACAATTGAATCGCATAATCAATTACTTCATATGTACAATTGACTACTGTTCTATTGTTATCTGATATCTAATAACTTCTCACGGGAATAAACTTTTAAATGCATCTGATTTTCTCATTAACGGTAGTAGGCCTCACAGTCGATAGTCGATTAGGCTTGCCTAATGATATTAAAGTAAGATATGTACTCGTATTTATACGACGGAAATCCTAATAAATTTTATATTGTGGTTAATCAAATACATACTTTATTATGTGAATATTTTAACCGATATTTAAATTAAATAGTACATGATACCCGAACCTAGTCTTTACAGCAAACTAAAATGTTCTGAATACTATTTCAACAAACATTAACAAAATGAAAAAAAAGATTATGTTCCCATTCAAGCAATATTCAATACCGCAAATCATTGTATTTTTAAATAATAAATGACCACAATTATGTATGTTGTATTAATCTATTAATATAATAATAGGGGCGGATGTTCAGTAACCATTTACCAGTAATCAAGGAAAAATAAATTCTTATTTTCCATGCGTTTAGTTTCATAGAAATTTGACAAGGTAAGCAACATTTTTCCAATTAACAGGGGAGTTACCGCAACTTTTTGTTAAACGTTTATAGATGCTCTAAATTCTTTCGTAAAGTAAAATATACATATCATATTTCATGATAAATATAACAGGCGGATTACCAATTTATTTGCTAAATCAGATAAAGGATATAAGTTGAGAAACACGGTCAATTAAATAGAAAGCCGCAATCGGTGGAGTCCCAGCTAAATATTGTAATATTTGCGATAAATTGATTGTGATATAAAGCCTGCTACACACGTTCAGTTTCTGTACAGTGCGAACGTTCAGATAAATCTAAGAAAGTAAGAACTATTAAGTCCTTTGCCTTTAAACGTTAAAACTGAGTGTGTAGAAGGCATAAGACAAGTGAACAATTAGTTCTAATTATTCAGATGATGTACTTCACTACTCGTATTGTATAATATTACATTAATTACAAAAGAAATAAAACTGTAAAAAGTGGATTGATACCAATAAAATAGCACACTTCACTACATTTTCCGTATGAAGATGTACAATATATGTTAATTGCTGATTTATGCAATTTTTTAAACCGTATGAAGTTGTTTTGTTCAATAGAGCGAAGTTAGATCGGTTTTTATGATTTTTTGTTTATACGAAACAATACGCACTTAATTAACTAATTAAACTGGATATAAGTAAACAGTGAAGTCTGCGGCGTATTATTCGCACAAGGACCCTGAATCACATTATTCTGGAGTACCAGAGTACAGCATAGACTAAAACCGTGAAGCCTTTCCACAATAAAGTACAAAAATCTTATCACCTTGCCTAGACTAGAAACTCCAAATGTAATCTGTTGAATCCACTTAAGAGTTGTTTATATTTATAGTACGAATCAAGTTATATTAATATTTCCAATGTCAGCCACCGCAATTTTTATAAGTAGTATTGTATTAAAATTTTGGAAGGGTTCAAAACATCCTATCTTTTTTACAGTTAATTAATTATACGTTTGGTAAAAAAAACTATCCTTTAATTCGTTTAAAAGAAAATAACATTGAAGGTAGTTTAATTAAGATTTTGTAAACATACAGTTGCAGTATAAATAAAGTATTTATATTCCATTCAAGTAGAAGTAGTAAATAATGATGCGGTTTTCTAGAGTTGTATTGCGGTTAATGTATTACAAATGTAGCAATCAATACTAAAATAAGTAAAATGTATACATATATAAAATAGGTTAGTGTTCCAACAACTTCATTCCAATCGTACTCTATAACGAATTAACTATTCGGTAAACCTTAGCTTATCTAAAATTAAGTGACTATTGCCCATGATCGTGTATTGGAGAACATTTAGATGAGCTGAATATACGTTGCCAGCCATTAAGGAAGGACAAAGGGAATCTTAGCTTGTTATTAAAAAGCTGTTGCACGCGACTTCGTTCGCGTAAAATTAAAAAAATATAACCTATGTTAGCCAATGGTAGCTTTTTAATGGTGAAAGAATTTATAAAATTGCCTAAGTAGTTTTTAAGTTATTTCAATACATTCAAAAATACTAATCTTTATGTTTTATTTCATTATTAATTATAGATTCACTATTGTCAAACCACGAATCTAAAGTCGGACATATTGCATAAAAACTAAATCATTTGTATCATGTTTCGTTCAAGTTTGCGCGTAAAAAGGTGAAAATGGAAACGCACCAGTGGCTCGCAAATTACGATGTCAGTATACATTCAGTACATAACATATTAACGTACTTACAACCTATTTATCAGAAAATTACTCAAAGCACATCATTGTTGTATACTTATCGGAAATTAAGACATTTCCCACTACAGCAAGTAGTTTAGAATGTATAATGTTCATAAGTTATCCATTTTATATACTTACTCGCTTTCGCCCACGACTCCTTTCGCGTAGGATTAAAAAAAACTGAGTATCCTATGTGTTCTTTCAGATTATAACCTGCATCTATGTCAAATTACATCGATATCCCTTCAACCGTTTAGGCTACAAACTCTAAAAAACATCCATCCATCCATTCTAAACTTTCACATTTATTATATTAATAAGATAAGATTAGTAGAAGTAAGATTGTACAACACTATATTGGTGCCGTATTTTACGTTTTAGATAAACCTCTCTAAATTCTAACCTTAATATATATTCAAAAGTCTGAATTAATCGATTTAGAACACAGTTTTACTTTAAGATATAATAAAATTAAAATTAAGAGACAACAAGATAGAAAAATAAAATATCGGAATAAACAACCTAAGCGAGAAGTTTAACATCGTAGAAGCAAGAATAAAGAGTGTTTAACTTATTAACTGTTGACCATATAAATTATAACACGGCCGGTTGAAGAAGGACCCCCAACGGGTTCGAAACTGTCGGTGCCTACACCTAATGTTATCACGTGAGTTTAGCCGTGTTATAATTTATATAGTATAATGTCTTACGAAAGTTTTAATAAGTTAACTGTTGACCAAATCATTTTCTAAATTTAATTTGACAATTAAATGATTTATTAGTGATATTTTCGTACTCGTACATATAAGTTGTTCTTGCTTGTAAAATGTAGTGATTAGTTGGTTGGTTTAGATGTCACATTAAGAAGTATTGGATAGTTCAGGCCTACAGATGTGTTGTTAGGTGTGTTCTAATTGGCAACACGTACGATAAACTGGTATGAGGTATTCCAGCTATGTCTACGGCATTTTATTACTTTTGTTAACCATGTATGCAGTTTCTCTATTTTTTATAGTTGCTATTTTGCTGCGCCTTTTAAATAAGATTACTAAACGATTATTTCGACTACTGCAACAATTTTAGCAGATATTTTGAAATCTTTATTAAGTAAATAAAATTATTTAATAATTGACTTCTCTGTTTTATAATTATTTAAATAATTTTTATGTAGACTTAAGTTTCATTAGCATTTTAATTAACTTCGTTATTTAAATATATTTACCAACATCACCTCAAGTTTCAGGCGAATATTGCGGCGCCTTAAAAGGTTCGGGTTAATAAGTAAATTGGTGAGGTCTCAAGTAATAAATATAAATCAATTTCGTATAAACCTTATCAAATATATGAATGCGTATCTGGATATATATGAGAAACTTTTTATGTTCATATTAAAATGGTTTAAGTAATCTCTTTCGATATAAAAGTCTTGCGTCACTTTGCTCGGAATAGTTTTAGGTAACTACTGCCTTCTCTTGTTCTCTAGCACTAGTCTACTAGAGCCTGGTCACTGCAGACTCTACTAATGTTGAACAATAATATCCAATATTATAGATGTTATAAGACAGTGGAGCTTGTGTTAAGTCATCAGATTTTTATATATAAAAGTTAAACTCCCAAAAAATCTGCGTTTACGCATTATAATGTGATTCATCAAGGTACAAGAACATTAAAGCCTAACAGTACGAGTATGAATAACGTACACAACGTATCATTAGGACGATATTGCGAACATACCTCTCAGCTTTACCACATATGTATTTATGAAGCAACGATATATTAAGTAAACATTTGCATTTTATCGTAAAGCTGCTAATTTTTGCTATACAAAATTGGCAAATATAACTTTGTATTTTTTATCAAAGATAACTTCACACGTGGTTATGTTTACAAGAGAGCACTATTATCGTTTTTTACATCTAATATTGAGACATATAAAGCTTTTTATTAATATTAAAAGCCAAAAGTACAGTCTCATTAAATAATTGGAATGATCTAAACACTGAGCCGGCTCACAGAATCTTTGTATTTGAGATACGTAGAATGTGTAAATGACCTGGGGTAACAGTGTCGCTGATGTAGGCGAAGATGTGGTCGCAAGTAGCCGCGAGGTGCGGGTTGGGGGCGCGCGTGTCGTCCAGCACTAGGTTGGTCAGCAAAGAGCTCGGCCGAAGCAACTCCCGTGGGAAATACACGCTGCGCACCTGAAAACAACCACCACTTATATTATAATTTGTATCTCGTATTGCAATCTCGTAAGTAAAAACTCTAATAAAATCAAGTCATCATCATCATCACCATCATCATCATCATCATCATCATCATCATCATCATCAGAGGCACTACAGCCGCGGGTGAACCAGAGCCTAGTCAGATAATTTTTTCCTATCTATCTCGGGGTTTTAGTTTATAGCCCTTGATGCTGACATTTTAACATCTCGTTCGACTACAGTGACTGATATTAACATCAAGTGTAGTGAATATTTGGAAAGAATGTACACTAAACTTATGTACAAAAAAAGTGCATTGCAAACAAAATGACATCCATCGTACAATTTAAAATTCGAACGACCGCCATGTTACAGTTCTGAGGCAGTTTCATTCAATGATAATGGCGCACTGAGTACGAACATTGCAAAAGCAAACCGCACCCTTTCCAATGTTATAGAGAATGACCTCGCCACTTTTAGCTGCCATAGAACTTATA